GTCTGACATGCGGTTCTGCTCAACAAAGGTTTCCTGAAGGCCTACTGGAGGGTGTCCCTGATCCTCACAGGAGGCAATGCATGACCTACCTAATGCCCCATACTCGGTTTTGCCTGGTCTTCCCCACCATTAAATTCAACTGCTTCCATGATTGCTTGGCTCCTTAGTGGGCTGCTTGCCTGCCCAACACGTGCAAGCTCTTGATCTCACACAAGGCTTACTCCCTCGAGGTACTGTGCAGGACCAGAGGTGGGAGCACTGCTGTCGTCTGGACAAATACATGTAAGAAAACACAGCAGCCACGATGGGGCAGTGGTACCCACTCTTCAGCACATGCCACACATTGAAATCTCCACCTTCTCACGCCATTGCATCTAGCACATAGGGAGGTGAGCAAGTCCTGCTCCCTATCAGAGGCTCCCCATGCTCCCCAACTCCACCTGGCCCAGTTGGTCCCTCCAACAAAGTTCCGTTTATAAGTATTTATTCTGGGCCTATCATTCCCAAAGCAGGAAACAGGCAGCATGGAACCAGCTCCAAGACAGGAAGATGAAGGTAGCTTCCCAGGGGCTCGGCCAGTGGCTGGCACCAACCCGTGGACTGACTGAGCCTCTCAAAACAGACAAACCTTCAGCAGGAAAGGTGGGGCGAGGCATTTCTGATCAATGTAGAGCCTGGTTAGGACTTTGGGGGGGTGGGCAGGGATTATGAAATGCTTTTTGATGATCCGTAGACGTGGCTCCATGGTAGGATCCTCTAATTTGAAAATCTAGTCCCCAGTTGATTCCCCATCAATTCTTCTGGCTGCATCAGGGAGAAAGTTCCACTGTGGAACACTCTGGCGAGTGTCTTTAATGTTCCCTGGGCCCGGGAAATCTCCCTTTCTAACACAAAGGGAGCATGGGTGCTTTTGCAGAAACTGGCAAAGGATAAACTCCCACTAGAAGTCAATGACACTGTTGTCTTCAGTGTGTTTACTTTTACAGTTACTTTTTGTTTGGGACATGCAATAATTAATTTTCTGGTCATGGAAGGGTCAAAGTTCTTTTTTCGTAAGACTAAAAGGCTGAAAGTCAGCTGGTTAAAAGAAAATATGAAGTAAGAAGTATGACAGGAGGTAGAGATTTAAGACACCCCCCCTCAAAAAAAAAATGCAAAAATCATGCAGGTAGTACGTGTTTTTTCTACACGGATACACCAAGAACCAGGCCTCTGATAACTACAGAGCAGAGCCACTGAGGTGAGCCCAAGAACCAAGACAGGGAAGCACGAGAGGCAGATTTTAGGAGGAATGGGAAGAGCCCAGGCACACGTGATGTGGGGGCAGATGAGGAGGCTAGAAAGGTAAACCGAGGCCAAGTCATGGATAGCCCTGAGGCTGGAGGTAGCTGTCTGGTTTCAGCTGTGACTGTGGGGCCCAGCAGAGCTCTCCAACCCTCTCGACAAGTAGAAGGGGTCCCATCCCCAAAGCTGGACCAATTTGGAGGAGGAGGGGAGATAAGCTGGGGTGCATGGTGTCTGAGGAAAGGTCAAGGAAGCAGCTAGAACTACGTCAGCACTGACCACAGTCAGGCCTTGAAAAGGAGGATGTGGCTTATCACCAACTCAGGAGGCCCCACCAGGGTGGTGAATGGAAGGGAGCATGGGAGGACATAGGCGGCTTGGGAGGCAGGTGTTAGCCCAGGCAGGCTCCTGCAAGAGATAAAAAACTCATCACCATATTTGGGATGAAAATTTCTGAGGAATAAAAAAAGAAAAGAAAAAATTGGAATAGGCTTAAAGGGGAGGAAAAAAAAAAAAGACCTAAAGATAGCCTAAACAAAACACTCAGCCCCAGTGCCGGCCTCACTGTCTGCTGGCCATATGGCGTGTGATAAGCCAGAATGCGTGTATTTATCTTCCGTGGCTGGTCTATAAAGCTGAGTGCCAGCCCTCTGCAGTAGAGACCCTGTTTTGCTCTTCAGCCCCGACTCACAGCTCCCAGTCCTCGGTCCCCGCTCTGGAGGCGATGGTTGTCACCTCCCTTCCCCCATCCTTGCTGCTAGCCTCAGCCCCCACACGAGCCACGGCCTCCACAGCTGTTTTCCCACAACCCGATAAACCACAGGCCTTGCCCGTTTCCTCCTCAGCCAGTCAGGCCGCACTGTGGGCAGCCAGCTAGCTCCCTAGCATTCGCCTGAGATTGTGCACTCCGCCATCCCACAGGTCCTCCACTGTGGCTCCGACTGTGACTGATAGCAAAACACTTTCTTTGTGGCTGTTGAGGATTAGCACCTTGAACACTCCTTAAGAGCAATGTTGACTCGAGGACCACAGAGGGGTCGTATCTTCCTGGTGTCTCTCTTCAGCCCTCCTTCTTGCTTTGGAAAATGGCCAAGCAACATCATCATCATCCCAGTCCACTAACGCAGGCCTGCACCCTGGCTCTCCATATCATGAGCAAATAACCACATACAGGTCCATTATGGTCCTGCGCCCAGGAGTTCTGTTCTCCGCCTCTTCTCATGGCTACCTAAGTCTTTCCTTTGGTCAGCCAGGGTTTGAGCAGAGAAGTCCTGCTTACAGGATGGAGGAAGATCACTAGAATGCAATCTGCTACCAGGAGGCTAAGTTACAAGTGAATTTCAGATCAATGACACATTGTTTTTAGTATGTCCCACGAAATATTTGGCACATCCAATAGTCCCTACTTTTCCATGTTCCAAAACATTACATGTATACATGAAACCGCAGATAGGACCGAACCTTATACATACCGTTTTACGTATGTTGTATATGAACCAATGGTAAATCTCAATTCACAAATTAGGCAAGGTAAAAAATAAATAATAATTAATGGCCAGGCGCAGTGGCACATGCCTATAATCCCAGCAGCTAGGGAGGGTGAGGCAGGAGGATAATGAGTTCAAAGACAGCCTCAGCAAAAGTGAGGCACTAAGCAACTCGGTGAGACCCCGTCACTAAATAAATAGGGCTGGGGATGTGGCTCAGTGGCTGAGTGCCTCCCCCCCCCAAAAAAAAAAAACAATAATTAATGGTAAAATACAACCATTATAATGGTCTACAAAATGAATTATTTAAAACTTATGAATTGGTTATGTCTAGAATTTTCTATTTAATACTTTCAGATCTAGATTGACTTCAGATAACTGAATCCTCAGAAAACTAAACCATGGCTGAGGGGGAACTTCTGTGTGTATGCTAAAAGAAATTACTCTTTGCTCAGGTGAAATTCCAATTTAACTGGGAATCCTATATTTTTTACTTGCCAAATGTGGCAACCCTAGATTATCAGGAAGTGACAGGACCAACCCTGGGGCAGCCCTGCTCTCACCCAGTAGCCCTCACAGGCCACAGAGCAGCCCTGCTGAGGTCTGGACCTCCCTATTGACATCCCCGAGTTCATGTCACAAAGGCATGCAGGTTCTCTGTGGTCCTGAATTGCAGAGGTGACCCCTGGTAGGCTATGCACAAAGGATAACTTCTCAGTCAAAGCAAGAAGTTACAAAGAACCCAAAGGAAAGCACGGATGGCATAGTCCTGGCACAAGGAAGTGCAAGAGAAGATGCCCTGTCCCCAGCAAGTGTGAAAATACAAAGCATGGACACTCAGTGCCTTTGCACACAAGCCTGTCCTGAGCAGTCTCTCACACACCCCCAAGGGCAATCACAAGCCAATGGAATCCAAGAGCAAGAGGGGCAGGGGCTGGGGACTTAACAGGAACGTGGGCAGCCTTATAAATGGCCGGCACCTCAAGTGCTGGGGCAGCTGGTCTAGGCAGGTCCCAGCACGAGTCCTGGCAGAGGACAGAGCCCAGCCCCAGTGAGAAGCATTTCAGGGGCACAGACTCATAGGCTCTGGGCCAGAGCAAGTGCCCTAGATGTGGGGACACTTCTCTATACACACCCCAGAAGCAGCTGTTATTCTCCTGATCTGGCACCATCAACGTAATAATAGAAAGAGACTTCATCTCTGACCCATACGCTATTTTTACTATCAGTCAGAAATCCACTGGCTCATAATATCAAGTTAAGCTATAAGAAATTACCCTTTTTGTTAAGTCAAAAATGTTAGAATATTGGCAGTTCTGTGTAGTCCAATCAAATAACACTGAATACCTACTATTTGTCAGACTCTGTGCAAGTGTAGGCTGCACAGAATATAAATTGATCATCACCTGTATATTGATCACAGTGTTCAATTCACATGGCAAATACTATTGTGTGCATTTCATAGAGTCAGAGACTGAGTCACAGAGAGGGCGCAATGCTCATCCAGTTGAATACACACGAGGCCTGTATGACTCTAAAACCCACATGCATTCCACCTACCTACCATGAGCCCTGCCCTGGCTCAGTGGCTGACCATTCCTGCAGTATCAAGCACTTCCAGGAGTCCCACCTGACAAAGGGACCACTCTATACTCAATCAAATCCAGTATCCTGTGTTAGCAGCAAAGTGTATTTAACAATAATTTCAAGAGGAACAAAACATTTGGAAGTTGATTTAGAGATAGGAGGGAAAGGTCAAACATGCACTCCTAAAAGAAACAAAAGTAATCAAGCAAGAAAAATTTGGCCAACCAGTTTTAAAATGCCTTCATTCTGCCTATGAACAAATAGATAGTGGGCTACTGAGAAAGCCATCAGGTATGGTGAGATCCAGCACTACTGCAAGCCTGGAGGCATGTGCTTCTGAGGCTGCCCTCCAGGAAGACCACTGGACTTCACAGAGGAAAGAGGATGAGAACACTCTCAAAAGTCAGGATCATCACTGGCCTCCTGGTCCCTGTAATCCCTCTCAGAGTCTGAGACCAGTACTATCAAACACATAAAAGGGCTGTCAGAAACTTAAAACAGTAGGAAGAAATAAACATCCTTCTCCTTGTGAAATAGAATTTGGACGTTGGAGAACACATAAACACAAAGTAGCTTCGACTAGTTCCAAAAGAACCTCTAATGCCATCAGAATTTGAGGATGAGGAGGAAGAAGGGACTGACCTTCACGTGGGCCACGTAGTGACGACACGTCTCCTCCATGTGGGTCAGCTGTAGTTTCTCTGAGACCTGGCCAGCAGTCTCTCCCAGCAACACAAAGTAGACCCTGGGCAGCTGGCCCTTCTCCTTCTTGGACACATCTGCTGTCAGAACGTAATTGAGGCCTGCCAATAAACAAGAGGTCAAAATGTCAGAAAAGATAGAGGGGCCAGGCCACCTCCCCTCCCCCTCACAGGATCCACGCATGTTTCACAGGACACCTTGCCCTCCAGAGCATGGAGGACCGTGGGCCACGTCAGGACCTGCTGGGACAGACGTGTGCAGCCAGGTGCTCACAGAATCTAGACAGAACCAGGATGCACTCTGTCTTTGTGGTGACACTCATGTATGTACCTCATGACTACCCCAATTTAAACTTCATGCCGCCACGAGGTCCCAGGGGAGCTGCTGACACACTCGTCAACCATTAGCTGTACCCGACCCAGGGCAGTGTTCAGAGAAGCAAGCATCGTGGCACATCTGCAGCCGGTCACTAGAAGCCTCTGAAATGATGGTGGCACCATGCAGTGACTATCCTGGGTGAGACCACCCACCACAAGGGAACAATCACGTCCAATAACTTCATCTCATCTCATGAATGAGGAGTCCTGCTCACTGTGTCCACTGGACTGCAGCACTCACAACTTACTGAGCACTGACTACGTGCCAGATGCTGTTGTGAGTAAAGGTGGGACAACATAGGCAAGGACATGCGTTCACGGTGCCCACATGCTTGAAAACCCAGAGGAAGGCTGCAGCAGATCTCGTTCTCAGGGGGCCAAGCATGGTGACCATGCACTTTGAGGTGCCCATCCCTCTAGCAAAACCCGGGCCATAGTGGGCCTGGATAGAGGTCCACCCCTGAAAAAAAAAAAACAAAAAACAAAACTCCTCCTCTGTACCTGAAGGTCTAATGGTAGTTGGCAGAATGACTGGGATGTGAAAGCAGGAGGGTTACAAGGTCAAAGGCATGCTGGAGAAACCCAAAATGTTTTACCTCCATCATTTCAGAGTCCAAGTAAATTATAACGGTATGCTTCTTAGGTAAATATGGCTTTAGTATCGACAGACCCCTCTCACCTTTTTTTTGGCACAGAAAAGTAGTAACTCTTTTTAACTGTTTTGTGGATTGAGAAGATATTGATGGTTTTAAATAAGATAACAGGAAGCTCCATTCCTAAAGCAACTGGAGGAGATGGCGGAGCAGTGGGAAGGCAGATGACCCAGGCCCATCTCTACACATCTGCCTCTTAGAACCCAGGGCCTCGGTACCAATAAAATGCAGTTCTGTGTCTGCCAGCCATTAGGTCCATGAAGCCAGGCAGCGGGCAGCTCTGGCTTTTAACATCAAAGGGGGAGGTCTAAACCAGGGTGAGAGGAAGGTGACCTGGGCAGGCTTTCTGCTGCATCTAATTGCTTCTCTAGGCTACTGCCATGTCAGGGCTCTTGCCACACCAAGCAGGCGGATTCCTGGTTAGCAAGGGCAAGCCTGCCCCAACTTGTTTGTTCGAGAAACAGCTGATTTCCAAAGCAAGGCTGGGTCAGCAGGAGGGACCGAGGTCATGGATCATCCCAGGATAGTATTACCGTTAAGAAGAATGGTATGAATTGGGTGCAATGGTACAAAGCAGTTACCCCAGCTACTTGGGAAGCTGAGGTAGGAGGATCACAAGTTGGAGGCCAGCCTGGGCAGCTTCATGAGACCGTCTCAAAATAAAAAGGGCTGGGAGTGTAGCTCAGTGGTATAGTACTTACATAGCATGTATGAAGCCCCGAGGAGGAAGAGGGAAGAAGAAAAGATGTATATGGGAAACCATTTGAACACAGGAAACATGGGCACCAGTTCAAGGGTTACACGCCAAAGGGCTGTGGATTCACAGGCCATTGAAGCTTTGCAACAATGTGGAGACCGACTAGTTTAAACCCTCCACCTTTAAGATGAGGGGACTGAGGTCCAAAAGGGGAAAAGACTTGTTCCAAGCCAGAGCCATCTGCCAGAGAGAGCAATCTAGAACTCTAGTCTCTGGTTTCGGACTAGCCCTACCATGTTGGTTCTTAATGCCTTTTTTTTAATTACCTGACCTCACCTAAAAACTTATTTTTTTGGATGCAGAAACAGAACCAAACACAGAAAGAGATCCAGAACTACTGAACTCCAACCAATCTGCTTTCTAGTGATTACAACTCCCCTGACCAACAGTTAAAAAAAAAAAAAAAGTGGGGTGGGGGGTGTAAGTTGAAATGAAGTGAGACTCCAAGCCCCAGTTAGCTGGAGAGTACACTGCTTGCTGGAAGACAAGCTGAAGGATCCTGGCCGGGGAACCTACTTAGGGTGGCAGCTGCCAAGTAGCCTGTCCTCGGTGGCCCCAGGCTAGCTTTCCTCCCAAGTGAGAGAACTACGGTGCCAGCCTCAGGAAAGGGAGTAATGGAGAGAACAGAACAGAGCTATTGTGCCACAGACAAATTGGCTGAGCTCAGAGAAAACCCCGGGTGGAAATGAACACAGGAAGACAGAGCAGACAGTATCGATCCCCCACCCATATCCTCTTGGCCTGAACCCTTTCTCTGCGGTCCAGCCCAACCTGCAGCTACCAGCACCTGCGTCCCTTTACCCAGGGCTTTCTCTAGTGGCTCTGCCAACATGCACGGCAGGCCAGAGGGCCCGGGCAGCCCTCCGTGGGGCAGGATCCCTATTCCCTCAGCCTTTAGATGGGATAGTGGAGAAGGTGCCTCAGAGCTGACTTTCAGGGTTCCCCCACAAGTTCCAACTGCCCACATGGGTAACCTGCTGAGTAATACACCTATATGGCTGCTAGGATAGTTGTGTGTCAACTTGGCTGAGCTGTACAGAATACCCAGATATTTTGCCGAGCATCAATTCAGTGTTACTATGAAGGTATTTTTAAAGTGAGATCAACATTTAAATCAGACTTTAAATAAAACAGATTGATCTCTCTACTGTGGATGAGCTTCATCCAATCATTAGTCTAAAAAAAACAACACAAAAAAACTAAGGTCCCCCCACAGAAAGAAGGAATTCTGCTTCTAGCCTGCTTTGGATTTGAGATTCAACCTCAACTATGCCCTGGGTCTCTAGCCTATTGCCTGCCCTGCAAAATTCACATGTATCAGCCCCTACAATCTTATTAACTAATTCTTTAAAATCAGTCAATCAAGGTCAGGGGTTAGATCAGTAGTAGAGCTCTTCCCTAGCATGTGAGAGGCCCTGCGTTCAATCCCCAGCACCAATCATCATCATCATCCAACCAACCTCATATTTATATCTGTTTTCTGTCTCCCTCCCTCCCTGTTCCGTTTCTCTGACTACAGCTGCCCACCCTTGCTGTCTCAGTACCCCATTTCCCTACTGGTGCTGCCAGGGATCACCCCTGGTTTTGCTAGTTTTGTTTTTGTGATGCTGGGGAATGAGCCCAGGGGGTATTCTACCACTGAGTTTCATTCCTCGGTCCTATTTATTTATTTATTTATTTATTTTACATTTTGAGACAAGGTCTTGCTAAGTTGCCCAGGCTGGCCTTGAACTTGTGATCCTCCTGCCTCAGCCTCCTGAATTGCTGAGATGACAGGCATGGGCCACCGAGCCCGGCTCAGAGTTTACTCCTGAGTCAATGATGTGCACTTGGATCCTTGACTCTAGATCTATTTGGGGGATGACCCAGATTAACACAGGGAAGTCAAGAAAAGGGAATGGATTTGACCTTCAACATGTGCCCAGCACTGGATTGGGTACTTTAAAAAACACCAACTTCCATCCTCAAACTGCAGAACTGTAGACATGTGGCATCTCCTGCAACTCGAGGAAGGGGAGGAAGAGCAGCAGCTCAGAGACTGAGCTGAAAATGAGGCACACTGCTCTGCCCCAGGCGGGAGTGTGCATGCCAACACTCTCAACATTTCAGAAAAATCTGAAAGGTAACAATCATGGACAGACTGAATTAGCCTATTCGCCAAGTGCAATCATTTTGGAAGCATTTCATCTCGAGAACCGTCTACTTATTGCTTCTCCTTGGTTCAAAATTTATTTTGACATTTGAAATGACCCAAAAAATAGTCAATTCTGTGTCAGACTCTTCTAGAAGCAAGACGCACCATGAGAAACCCTGCCTGAGTGAGGAGGGTCTTGTAGCCGCAGGCAGTAAGAAGAAACAAAGATCATTCTGCAGCTCTGGGCTCCACTGATAGTTTTAAACAGCACTCACCCAAGTCCCCAGGGGGGCTGGGAATGGGCTCCACGGGAAGTGGAGAATGTGTCAGAGCAGCAGCCAATCAGCTCACTTGGTTTGGGGCGTACTGTAGCTGCCCCTCACGTGAGGCAGACAACCAGCCCCGAGAGGGTGCTGGTTCTGATCCAGGCCCTGCTCCAACAGCACATCTCACGGCTACAGGTTTTCCATTCTGGCAGCTCGTGTTCCTGCCATGTCAAATGATGTCATGTTGATGGAAAAGCTGATGAGCCCCGAGGGATGCTTTCCCTCCCTCCTTCCCCTGCCCCCAGCTGGTTCTTTAGGACCCCCCACACCAGCCTGGGCCAGGAGGGAGCCAGCTGTCTCCCATCAACTCTGGCTCTGGTCTCTCCCAGCCAGTTTCGAATCATTCCCATTCTCCATCAGAAGAAGATTTCTGCTGGGAAAAATCTACTCATAAATTCTCCTTCCAGGGTTTCCCTTAGAGTTTCCCAGGAGGAAAGGCGAAAGGGTTATTTCTACTTTAACAGCTTTCCTACGTTTTCTTCCTCTTTTCCTCAAGGAATGACGCAGTCATTACCAGACTGAGGGTTCCCCCATTCCTCACACATCTTCACTATCCCTTGTTATCCCATCGCCTGCTTCTCAAAAGACCAGGACTCAGAGGATGTCCTCTGCATGCAAACACTCTCCAGAGCAGAAATGCATCCCTAAAGCAGAAAAGGGGCCTATGGTCAAGTTGCTCATTTCCACCCTATTTCCCCTGTTAGTGTAAATGGCCAGCTCTCAGGTCCTGGGCTCGATAGCATGTCCAGAGGCAGACACCTCTGCTCACTCACAACTTCATCAGGCTATCTGACAGCCAATGGAAACGCAGCAGCACTGGGTCAGTGTGCAAAACAGAACCATGGAGGGCTCACCCCCAAACCCACCCTGGTTTTCATTCAACACTGGTGAGAGTCCAGAGGTGCCAGCCTGGATTCCCAGCCTTCAGGGAGAGAAATGAACAGGTCAGGCTTCAGCCTGTCCAGAGAGGAGCAAGACACTATCTACCCTTCCTTTGGCCAACCAGGAGGCTCCATGAGGCCGTAGGCAGCTCCCCAGGGAAAGGAGGAAGTGATGAATAACACTCCTGGGGACAGGCAGAACTCTTGTTTTTTAACTACTTAAACACATTATGAACTTGCCCTTGGGGGAGTCCACTGTTAGAGTGAGAAATCTGTGTTCATGTACCAGCATAAATCTGCCAACCAAGGAGCCTGCATGTATCTAGAAGAGCGAGCAAGAAAGACTCCTCCCCCCAAAACAAAAGCCCCATGAGGGCAAGGATTATGCCCATCCTGTCTATTCCTCTGTGCCCAGGGCTGAACAGTGTCTGGCACTTTGTAAGGGCCTCATAACTATTGATCGAACATGGATTTGCCTCACGATCCCATCTCCGCGCTTCTCGAGAGACCAACGAAGGAAATCAAGAGAATGGCCCTGGCCTGCAAATGCTCTCTGGAAGAGAGATACAGGCTTTTATCGTGATTTTGTTTGTTCGCGTGGAATTTTTCTTTCTACTCAATCAGCCTTGCCAAGTACAAACAAAGCACCTATTAATCTACATAATATCCTGGAATCATTTCCTCCAAATGATCCCGTGCTCTGTGTTCTAATCAACGCTGACCCTGTCTTGTTCTGGGGCTTCATCCAGTCTCTGGAGGCAGGACAGCAAGTCAGCCTTCCCCCCAGTCTAAGAAATAGCAGGGACAGCTACCACCTGCTTTCTCTGTGCTGCCAAAGCAGGGCCCCCTCTTTTGAAAACCTAAGCCTTTGAAAACTCCACGTCCTGATCCCACAGTAAATGGAATAATCCCCCCGACATCTGGCTGATGCTGCAAACTCCACGGGGAGCCTCCAAAGACCATCACTTCTTTTTTTCTAACTGCATGGAATGTTCCATAAGACCCAGGCTCCCTGGCACCACATTCCCACAGCCTGGCCCGCCCTCCAGTGAAGTTGAGTCTGGTCCACGTACATTGGGCAAAGGATGCTTGGGGTCCAACATCATGTGTCCTAGAGCTGTGGATGAGCAGGAGAGAGAGGGGAGGGAGCTCTGAGGGAAGGGGTGTCCAGCCCACCCATCTGCTGCCTGCAAAGCCGGCCGATGCAGGGCAGGAGAAAACTCCGAAATGTCCCACAGCTGCCCACCATCCTGCAATCCTACTCCAGCTAAGATGTGTAACCCGAGCCCTGACTCGGTGACTCATTACCAATTTCTCCCGGAACGTGTCTGCCGTGGAATCTGAAGCAGGCCGTGACATTCAGGCAGTTCACAGGCTGCTGTCCATCATGACACTGAGGCGCCGTGATGTTGATGGAGCCTGGGAGGAAGATGGAGACGTCCACCGTAATGACCGGCCTGGCCCTGCAGGGCAAGAGGGGAAGATGACTCAGTCATGGTAAAGAACAGCTCTCGGGAATCAAACAAGAACTACATAGACATGATAAATCCCGGGCCTTCAGCCAGCATTTGATTAAAGTATGAAAAAAAAAAAAAAAAAGAACCCCAAGAGAGAAGGTCCAGTGTGCTCTGTAAATACTTTTTCTGGTCTTAAAAGTAGCACATTTCCTAATATATTAATGGTTAGCCTTCTAATAATAAAGGCAAGTTAGTTGTTAATCAAACACATCTGGTTGAAGCCATAAGTGAACCACCAGATGCTGCCGGGTGATTACTTAAAAATTTTTATCAAATAAGTTCTGATTTCCACTTACTAGGGAGCTATGGGTGTATTTAAGAGGAGTTCCTACACCAGAAGGCAGGGCTCAAGAACTAGGGGCAAGCTCAGGTGTCCTCCAAAGCATTCACTGCCATTGTAAGCACAAACTGCAGTCCCTCCAACTGGCTGAACCGCCTCCTTCATTCATCTCTACCAATTCAGGGACCATTTTTCTTAATGACCTTGATTAATGAAGTCCCTGCTGGTGACAGCAAAGCACTTCAAGGGCAGAAAAAAAAAAAATCAACCCGCCTGGCCTCAGAATCAAATCAAACCCAATAAACATTCACAGTCCTCTCCCTTGACATGGCCCATTCCCCAGCTCTTGATGGATGGTCAGTGTCCATCCAAGCCAACAGATGGACAAAATTCTGCTCTCATGGCAAACATCTGCTCAGGGAAGTTTCACCTAAGCCTCCGCTTAACCTTCTCCCCTGCAGGCCTCTCAGAGAGAGCCTTTTACCTCTAAGGAGCCCCAGTGTCAGTCATAGGGGTGACATAATGAGATTAAGGGACCTTAGTGGCTTGGGAACAATGACCTCACTTGTATACCATGCTCCCTCAAAGAGAGCCCAGGGTGATGGGCAGATGGGAATGACAATCCACCAACTCCAAGAGAAGGAAGCAGCAAAGAAAACCTTGGTGGGAAAAGGAAGTGAGGCCTGCCTGCGGCAGATGGCGTGAGGGTGATCCAGCGGCTGCCACCACTCCTGGGACAGGAGGGTCAACAGAGGGGCAGCTGTGACCAGGGCAGTGGGACTCCCTGAGCAAATCCGGCTGTAGGGCAAAAGGAAGTGGGACAACAATGGTGCCTGAAGGAGATCAACATCCTGGCCTCTCAATTTTCTTCTGGGTTCATTCTGAGAATGCTAGAATTACCTTAGAAAATGGATAGGCTACCCCTGGTCAGCACAATTGTATAGATGCCAATGAACACTGCAGAAAGCCCCACTGACTATTCAACAGCCAGCGGCAAGGTCCCTTCTCCCAGGAAGTTCCCAAGAACCCCTGGCTCCCTCGGTGACCCCACTCCACCACCCTTGCTAAGGAGAACAGTGCTAGGTTTTTCCAAATCAGTCCCCCACCAAGAACTGAGATCCCAATGAATTCATCCTTATGCTGGACACTACTGCAGGACAGGAGATGTGTAAAGTAGGTGTAAACTTTACTGCAGCCCAGGAAACTGAAAATCACAGCAGTGCCCAAAGCTTCAAGAGACAGAAGAGAGACCAGGAGGCATCAGGTACCGGAGAAAGCTGGTTTCTGCCTGGGACAGACAGCCCCACCCTGCAATCCCTGAGCTGCTTGGTCCTGGAACCCAAGAAAAGTCCATCTCCTCCTGCTCCCCTGGGCCAGAGGCTACCTGGTCAGGGAACGGGCTGAGTTCTCCTGTCATTAGAGAGCTCTGCTGCACAGCGCAAGGCAAGCAGGAGGCAGACGTGAGCAGTCCCCACACGATGACCTTGAAGGTTACGAAACAGAATCCTTTCAAACAGTCGGCAGGGACCCTCACGGGTACATCTCCTTCCAACATCTGTCAGATAGGTTCCCTCAAACCTTTTTGTTTCAGCTCCAAGTATTGTTTTTGGATGAGGAAAAGCCCAGAAATCTTTCATAGTGTCTCTGATCACTTCCTTTACCCCTCGATGGCAAAGCACCAGGTACCTATCACCCTAACACAGAGCCTGCCCTCCTGAGCAAACTTCCTGAGGGCAGATCAGGGCCCACTAGCCCGCCCTCCTGGGGCAGGAGATGGCTTCTCACAGTCCTGCCTGCAAATGCCCCAGCCTCTAAGATAAAAGCAAAGGGCACCCGAGGACAGCACTGCAGTACTTTCCAGACTTCCCAGAGGCTGGTAGCTGGAATGCTTGTTTCTTACAACTGACAGTTCAAATCTTAACATTCCATTTCTAGGTGGGTAATAAAAGCAGCTGGGGCACCCTGTGGCACGGTGTTGCTCAAACTTTTTCTTGTCTTTTGCAGAGTAGAAACAGGTGGACATATAAAGAGCCTACCCTCTTGGTGACACTTTGCCACCAGCAAGCCCTGGGGCTCTCTACCTCCAATAGACTTATGTCTGTTTACACTGGAAGCCACCCTCAGTCAGGTCTTCTCTGAGCTGCAGCCCAAGCATTCCTAACCTATGCCCCTCTGCAGTCTCTCCTTGAAGAGACCAGGTACAGTGTGGACATGGTCCTGGGCCTCCCCCCTTTTCTGGTCCCACCCAAAATCTGAGGTCACTCAAAAATCCATGAACTTGCCCAGCACCCAAGTCATGTCTGAGCACCCTACTTAGATCAGCTGAAACCTCCAGGCCTTCTTGTTCCTTGTCAGTCAGTCATATCCCAGGAACCTGATCCTAATGATGCCACCATAGATGTCCAGCCTACATGGCCCCTCAGATAAGCTTGATGATTCCTTTGCCTGTCCCTCCTTGCTCCCTCCACAGTTCATCTCTGAAACCTCCACTGTTCCCCAAGTCCCCTGACCTCCTGGAATAGACTGGGGGGTTAGCATCCTCAGCTTCACCCTCATCTCAAGCTGAACCTCCCCTTGACTCTATTCCTATCCTAGGGTACCCAAAAGATGAGGCCCCCACACCCTCGGCCTGCGTGCCAGATTCCCTCTCCAGCAGCCCTGTCCTTCCTTACCCCCCACCACCACCCACAGCAACCTCTCCAGGCCCCAAGGGAGGAATGGGGTCAGGGTAGCAGGGCTCAGATGAATGGGGATACAGCTGAGCTTGACCACCTCTGTTCCCTTCCAGGAGGGTTAGGGCCTTAGGACATGAGGAAAGTTCTCACAGATATCCTTGGCCTAACTCCTGCCATCCTTAAAATACCCTCTCCGAACCACCTGCCAATTCCATTTGCTCCTTAGCCGCCCAGCTCCTGGAGAGGCAGTCAAGAGTCGCTCTGTGCTCTCAGCTTCTCCTTCCCTCACCCACCCACAGCCATCTGGCTCAGGCCCCATCACTCCTGCAAAGCTGCCAAAGCCACAGAACCACTGGCTTCTGTCACCTCCAACGGGACTCAGCCCCTCCTGAAACCAAAACCAGTGCCCTTGACCTCGTGACCCTGCTTTGCTGTTTTCAAGGCACATCTGTAATTACTTTTTTTTTTAAGTTAATAAAACCTGCATGCCCTTGATCTCTTTACCCATAAAATGGGAATGATAACCATACCTATATCATGGAACTGGTAAGCAGCAGGGAGTCAATGCATATTCTGTCAAGAGAAAAGTGAACAAATCCCAGCACAATCAACACAGCCCAACGCGGAACAATCTTGAGAACATCGCATTGCATTAAAGAAACCAGAATCGAGAGCCCATTCTAATTCCATTTATGTGAAATCCCAGAACAGGCCAAAGTGATCGAGGGGGACAGAAGTCACAAGAGTGCCTGGCTGTCTATCGAGAGAATGGGATAATCAGAAAGAGCACAAGGAAACTAAGTAGTGATGAAATGCTCTTTATCTTGATGGGAGATAGCAGTTATACAGGTGTGTCTACTAGTCAAAACTCATCGAGCCATACACGCAAATTGGCACATTTTACTGTTTGCAAATTATACATCCACACCAGAAGAAAATGACCACAAAGAATGAAAATACCAGTCACGTGACACATGCAACATTTCAGGGGATGGCAGACGGCATGTACGGTAGAGGTCTGGAGATGGCATCACCTAGTGAGTCATAGGTTCCGTAAGTATATGCTCTGACACTTGCAGTGACAAAGTCACCTAGCCAAGCATTAATGTCTTTGAATATGAATAGCGGTTACTTGATGCAGGACCTTATGTAAAATGCTTAGACAGCTTCTGGCGTATGGTAGGTATTCATCCAACATTAGTTGCAGTTATTACCTATTTGTATAGGAGCTAGACCAGGTCTGTCAAGTTCTCTACCGAATCCCCAGGATCTGACATGTGCGTAGTTGCATCTCAACAGGTCAACATGACGGGCTGAGTAAAGAAGTGAAAGAATTCCTGGGATCTCAACATCCCCATGAGCTTCTCCACAGCTGGCCTGGCCTCTGGGCTCCTCATCCAGGCTGGGGCTCTCAAGTTCCTTTCTTAGACTCCTTCCTTGGATCTGTGCTCTCTCTGGCATTCTCCTCCCTGGATTTCACATTTGTCCCTAATAAGTTTCACCTCATCAGACTCAACCCCTCACCCTGGTCTGGATTCTGAGATCTCAGGTCCACTAAGCAATCACTTCAACATTCACATCCGTGTAGAAGACAAAAAACATTCATGAAGGAAGAAAAGCCCTTTGGAGCTCGCATGCACCTCCAGCCCAAAAGAAATTCAACAGACGGAAGGAGGATGATAAAATAACCTACAGAAGGGAACTTAAAGCCAGATGCTCCCAGGATCAAGAAGGCCTATTTTCAACTGAGAAGCCAAGGAACGTGTCATGGTGTATCTGAGAGCAATCTCAACAAATGGGATCAGGCTGCTCAGGAGGTGAAGAGAGTACGAACATATCGAGGAAGGCGAGTGAGAACTATGAGTCATAAGTTGAATCTCCTCCATCATCTGGAGCCTCAAAAGTTGTCTTACACAAGAGGAAAATCATCACCCCAGAGAAAAGGGTGATAAAGAAAGTAAAAACACAGTCAAGATGGAGAATTAAGAACCATAGAGGTTTGATCTTCGTGAATCCCTGCCTGGGGGACATAAATGTTACCTTCACACACCGAAGGGCTGCTGTGCAGAAAATGCTAGACCAGGAAGCAGAACCTCAGTGAGGTGAATTTAACCCAATTTACATCATAAGACTTGCTAACCTGGGGAGAAGGAGGCCAGGCACTGCTAAGAGCACTTTACACTATTTAATGGAGTTCTGGCCAAGAACATCCTGTTCTGCAGACGAGCATCCTGAGGCAGAAGGTCAGGACCTTGCCTTTCTAAGGACACAGGCAAGGTTTGAATCTAGGCCACCTGGTCCTCAAGGTCACACTCAACCTCAAGGTCATTCTGCCTCTTTAACAATGCAATATTTAAGAGTTACCTGGGGATCAACTGTTTCCTTAGAAGTTCCTAAGCCATGGCACCTCATTCAGGAGGCTGTGTGTGTCTCTGGGGGAGACTCAGAGAAGGCAGGACTGAATGAGAAGTATCTGGAGCATGGAACTACGTGGCCTCTGGGATCCTTTCCAGTTCTAAGATCCTATCAGTCTATTTTAGAACGTTCTGCCATGAGGTTACTAACAAAACCTAAGAGTTGGCTCCCACTCCAAAGTGTAATTCTGCCTCCTCTGACTCACACAGACAGAAATACTTAGAGATGGTTCATGGGTGGTGATGGCGACCACCCCCCACACACCAGTCTTGGAAGGAGAGATCCTGACTCAATGGGCTTCAGTGAGCACTAGACTTGAGCTCACAGTCCTCACACTTCTGCTGCCACCAAACAGTGAAGTGCCTCTGATCTCTGGAAGTTGAGAGCTAACTGATATAAAGAAGCTGGGTACAGAGATAAAACGTAGGAAGGACAGTACTTCCCAGCCCTTTGACTATCATAGCACCCATCAAAAATGATAATATTTATCATTAATATTTATATTGCTGTTCATGACCACAAGGAAACAGCCCCTGGGTTTAGGTCTCTAAAAATCCTGCTATCGTCCCCCACCTATAAGCCACTCAAGGCCCAACAGCTGGAGGAAAAGAATGAGACATTTGCATCCACTAAGCACTCCCGGCCCCCAAAAAAATTCAGCAGAGGGAAAAGCTGCCCATCAGTGAATACACACTGTGCCTCCCCCACCAGTCCCACCCCTCCCCATGAAGAACACACCCAAGGAGCAGGGGTGAGGCACCTCACCTTAAAAGAACCACACTGTCGGACATGAAGGCTCCAATAGTGACATCTGAAAACAAGAAGTCACAGTAGTCAGAAACTTATGGAAGGCCACCCACTGGCCCTGGCATGACACATGACAGCAACAGACACCTCTGACTGCCATTGTCTGCACCATGTAATGATTGTAAGAATCAGAGTCACATTGTCCCAAATGGCAGCCAATCCACATATGGCTATTAAGACCTTAAAATGTGTCTGCATTGAGATGGGCTCCAAGCGTAAAATGCACACCAGATTTTGAAATCCTAATTTTTAAAAAAAATTAACTCATTAATGGCTTTTATGTTGATTATGTATAAAATGATAACATGTTGGCCATTTGGGATTAAACATTATAAAAATTAACTTCACTTATTTTGTCTATAACTCTAATGTGGTTACTAACATATTTCAATTTACATATATAGCTCAGATTTTTTTACTTTTTAATTGGCGAGTTAAAGAGAGGGATACCCTAAATTAAATAACTCTTAGAAAATGCTCTAGGGTCTCCGAACCATGGAATAATCCCCTTTCACCCTCACTCTATGTGACCTCAGTGTGTCCCTGTGGAGTGTAGAATCATTATTTGCAGGACCATCTTCAAAAGCTGTCAATACTTTATAATACTTGAGAAAAATTATCGCACATGTCAAATATTACTATTACACATGCTAAATTTAAAAATTTATAAAAATACTTGGTAAACTATAAACCAAAACACTGGTTTAACTATTCATGTTTTGTGGTGCAAGAAGAGTTCTCTTTTTCCTTTGCCATGCTGGGGATCAAATGCAGGTCATTGCATATGCCAGGCAAGCACTCTACCACTGAGTAGCACCCCTGCTGTTAGTAATTTTTATTTATTTCTAAATAACTTTAATTTAGGAAGTATTCACTCATCCAATAGCTGTCTGCCTTTCCTTCTCACCCGCATCCCCACCCCCCCTTAGCCCTAGGGCTCCATCATAGTTCATAGAAACAAGCCTCTGAGTCCAAGAGTCTAAATTGGAATCTAAATCTGCCCATCATAAACAGAGAACATCTGTACATGCCCTCATTAAGGAAAAACACAGCAAATCCATGAATTAAATTGTTCCTAATGTTTCTGCACTTGGGTGTATTTATTAATTTTGTTGTTCTTCAACTTTTTTTTTTTTAGCAGACTGGTATTTGAAAATTAAAGAACATGACAAATTTGTCATTCCTCTTAAGAAAAACTCGAAAAAGTCGTTCAGATCCATTGTGAAATGTGACCACATCTGCTTACCATCATGCATTTATAGAGAAGCAGCAAAGCCACCCGGAGACCTGAGTCCCGCCCATTGCTGCAGGCTCCGGTCAGTCCCCAACCCCCTCTGAGACAGATGCTAACTATAAAGTGGGGAAATACCCCCTCCCTTCCTCCCTATCCCTATGACATCACTGAGATGGCCATTGGATATGGCAGCATTCTGCCTATCTTGAAATGTTCAACCCATATGAGATATTCGAGGTTGACCTTAGATCACCCGTAACAAGAACAACCACTTTCCTAAACTCAAAGACAAACAAAAAAAAAAGATGATCCAGGAGGGTCTATCTTGGGGCCAAAGTTTCCACACTAACTCCTCTCTATTACTACTCCTCTCAGCTCTGTAGTCTCAAGGACATTCAAAACTCCCATTTGTATAAAAATAGGCATCCTCGTTCAGGATGGCATTAGTTTGCACAGATTTGAAGAGAAAAATATTTTTCTCAAAAGCAAGATGAGTATATATTTGGGGAAGTGTTTTCAGCACTTCATGACGACTTTGGATATTTTCAAATTCTTGTCTGCACGTCCTCATCTTCAAACATGCAAAGAACCACTTGACCTAAACCAGGTATCACTTGGGGTGGGTTTTGAAACTGTAGTTTTTATTCAATTAGCCTCAACCACTACAACACACCAATTAACCTAGAACACCAGCCAGCCAGCCTTGAACAGTGAAGGTCTGCTCTCCATCAACAGAAGAACATGGTTTTCTTCTTATCCAAATCTTTCAGTAATTTTCTTTTGTGTGCATGGGGAGGTGCATGCTCCTTTTCCCTCTCAAAAATGAGACATCTCTGAATATGGTCAAATATTTTTGGAAAATGAGGTTTCATTATATAGCATTATAAATGTGGACAATGCTTTCTTTTTTCTTCATTAGAACTGCTACCACAGAAATCACTAAAAAATCCACCTGCCTGCTACTTAACCCTGTCGATCATTTTAAAACTCGAAAAAAAAAAAAAAAACAACCCTTCAACACTATTTTTAACCTTAAAATCAAATACTAAGCAGAAGACCCCATTCTACTGTGTGAATTGTCCTAATCCCAAATGGATGCAACAACGGCTGTCCAAAGTGACAATTATTCTATTTCATGAATCTTCATCTCATGTGTTTTTAAAGAACAACAGCTTACCCGGATAGCCATTTCCATCCATATCAATGCCTCCAGATATGGACTGCCCAAACATCCGCAGAACAGGGTTAATCTTCCTCCCAGACAGTTTCTAAAACAGATAACGGGGAAATGGAGTCACCGGAAAGAAGCAGAGTCACATACAAGAACCTGGGATTCCTTGAACCCAGCTTCCCCAGGGAACCTGGTATTAGGTTGAAAAGGAAAAAAAAAAAAATCACAGCCCGAATTTGATCAGGTAGGGGGTCTCTGGTAGGCTGTTGAAGACCACACACTGCTTTATTATTTGCCTTGGCCAAAAGTCATCATTCTGAAATTTTGCTTAAAAAAAAAAAAAAAAAAATCCGCCTACACCAGCGCAATAGTTTGACATGTAAAGTTAACACGACGGATGAAACTTCCATTTCTAACAGGTTCTGTTTCCTTTTGACTTGGGTATACCTGGCTGAAATAGGAATAGCATATTTCCCTCCTTTCTACCCAAATAGTTGCCAGATAACACTTCCCCCCAAGATGCACCCAATAATGGTCTCTTCCCTAAATGGCCAGATAATTAACCCATCTCGCTGGAAAGATGGCCACGTGGAAACCACCCCAGGAGGTCTACAGTCTCCCAAGCTTCACAGACAGAATTAAACATCTTTGTCTAGTAAACTAGGTTCACAAGTCCACCACCACAGGACATGTTAGCACCCGTGCTTATCATCACGTGAATCAAGAATACTTGTGATACAACCAGCCCGCCTCACACCAGAGCTGTGTACTGATGATCGATCGTGTGGCATGGTTCCTCACAGGACACCAAACTTCCTCAATCAGAAAATCCCATCTTCTGGGACCTGACCAGCCTCTCCTTCCCTGGATCCAGTCTCCCTGGGGAGGCTCACCTCCCGATACCCACATTGTGGATGACAAGAGACACGCTTGGTTTTCATGTGTCGTAGCAAAATCCACAATGGGACCAGGTTTGTGGATACCAGGGGCTCACATCGCCTTTCCTTCCTTTCCCTTCTCACCAAGTCATCCTGCAGAGAAATCATGAGTGTGTGCAGGGGGAGTTTCCCACAGGAACTATAGAAGGAGATGAGGATATCCCCACTCTCCAGCAGCTGATAACTGCCAATAACCCTCCCAGAAATGATCCGGGAGGGCCGCTTGCCACCTTCAGTTAAGCCATCCCTCAGGAAACATGACAGCATTGCAGGAACAGTACGGCAGCACTATAGGCAACACTCTCGAAGAACGGCTTCTCGCAAACAGGCAACGGGGCTGTCTGAACAAACATGCATGCAAGTCTGCATACCTCTTAAAAGCCATGCTTTGAAGCAGACCATCTTGACTCCAAAGGCCAAGAACAACGCTAGTAGTAGCTCACCCTGGGTTTGCATTTCTAAGGTATGCTGTGGCTGGGACCAGGGGGAGAGTGAAGGGGTGGTCCATTTGGGGGTGGCGACGTAGGCTTAAGTTATCCGCAGACATCTGCAGGCCATTATGCTATAAAGCCAGGAAGATAAGTCTGCTCAGGGCTAATAACCCTAAATGGAAACCAGGAACCTTGGAAAACCTCCACTTGACCAGGTTTATATGCAGTGTCCGTTATGGCGAGAGAAAAGATCAGAGGGGCCGCCATGACGTGCCCTGAGGGCTCTCAAATCGAGAAAGGCACACAAGGATCTTAAAATCAACACTTTTCAGGATAAACTCAAGAAAGAGGAATGCGCTAAAGAGTAATGTGGAAGAAGTTAAGGAGGCCCTGATCTCACAATTTAGCCAGCAGAAATAATACCAATCTGGGCCAAAGAAAAGCGATCCTGTTGCCCGGATTCGTTTCTGATTTCTCCCTCTAGTTCCTTCACACAATGCCAGCTCTGTCCAGGACCTGGGCCTGGAAGAATCCGTCATTAAAGAATTTTTTTAACCCTTTTAAATCACTGACCTTATCATATACATTTTAGCAAATTAGGAAAGTATAATCAGAGGGGTGTCTTTTTTTTTTTTTAAAAAAAAAAAAAAAAAAAAACTCCAAACCACTTCTCTGTCAAGGCTAAGGAGCCAGCATGTGCTGACAAAGGCCGGCAGTCCAGCTGCTGATCCCTGCTTCCTACTACAGACGCTCCATGCTAACCACAAAATGTATGCTGCAGTTTTCTGCAGGGATTCCACCCAGCAACCAAACAAAACACTGCAGGATGCTGGGCGGAGGGGAAACAGGGGTCTCCACAGGTCGTCTCCCTGTGTGATTAGGCTCCCAGGTCCAGGAGGATGCCTGGGGAATGACCCTGACCCTCCGCTGAGGACAGGGTTCCTTAGATGACTTTCACCTTGTCACACTGGGAACAGCATCCCTGACCCACATCAGTGCAGCTCTTGGGGCACAGATGTGACCTCCACACAGCTCCCAAAGCCTCTCCCTGTAGCATGTCAGCCAGATCACCTGAGAGTCTTTTGCTCCCATTATTACTTATTTCTAATGAAAAGAGCATGATCTGTGTGGCTAGATGCTCCTTGGCATAAGCGTGCCTCGTGGCAAAATAAGTTTCCATATTCCTAAGCCATCCTCCTAAGCTGCCTTGAGCGGGACTTTTCCCAGTGTGGAGAATGGTGGTCATGATCAACATTTGGGAGTCAGAAATGGTGAACTGTGAATGGTCACATTGTCGCCTACAACCTTGGGCATGCAAAACACCTTCCCCAAGTCACATTTGCCTCATGAAAGAACAAAGGATAATCAAAGACACCCACTTCGCATAGTTGCTGGGAGGAATCAGAGTATGGAAAGGGCAGAGACGTCCCCCAGGAAACAGTCCCTCCTGTCCCAGCACCTTCCTAAGCACCTGTCTGTCACAGGCAGGTCACCTAACTAAGCAGGAGGCCAGCAGAGAGGGAACACAGGGTTCAGCTGGCCACAAACCCACCACCCCAAACTTATACCTGTTTTAGAACAATTACGAATGTATCAACTGTACTTATATTTACATACTGCCTCTTAATCTACACATATAAACATGAAAAGAAAGTACATAGCATGTAAATATTCAGTAATAAGTATTCACAGATAGGAAGTTTCTCAATGTGTGCTCTATCTCTGTCACTGCTCCACTGGGACAAAGACACAAACCAATGCCCCTCTACACACATCCACAAATATCCTGACCGTGCTGTCAAGAGCGTGACTTCCTTTTTTCCCATAGGCTGGGCTTGATGCCATCAGCAAGATTAAACACCAAGCTGATACGGCGAAAAACAGAACTCGCCACTTCCACGTTCCCGCGTCTGGGGTGTGAGGCCAGAGCTCTGACTAGCTCCTAGTTCTCATGCCAATTGTGACAACAGCCCATAAAAACTTCCAGGACCTCCTCTGAATCACTCACTCTCTCTAGATTGTATTTTAAAACATATCCCTAAGGCTTGGCAGCACAGAGATAGTTGACAAAAGAGTCGCCAAAAAACTAAGTTTCTCTCTCTTAAGTAGGTCTAACTCTGGATAAGAATTTGGATATGACTTTTTATAGGCAGAATGTATCCCTGAATGTGAGCAAACTCGGGATCTATGAATACTTTTCTGCACTTAATATAGCAATATCAAATGTTTTTCTCTTCCACTAGAGGGTGGGCAGTCTGAAGCCAAGACAGATGTGTTTTCATTTGTACCCCCAGGACCTGGGGCATAATGAGGGTTTCATACACGTTTGTGGAATGAACGTATCAACAGTTACCATATCACTCTCACACCAATTACCTTTGAGTACTGGGGGACTATCCCACCAGCATCCCCATGATAGATATAGACGGCCCCTGCGAAGTCATCTTCTTTGGGTGCGCCAACTGCCACATCTGGGGGGATTAAAAAAAAAAAGACACGGGTTAGAAAAACCACATGGAATAACATTCAGTGTGGCTTCCCTAATTCTCCTTATCACGTCTGAGACCTCAGCCAGGAATTTTTGGCTGTTGATTATTCAAGCATTCAATTAGGCACCTAGTCTTAGGTCAGTTTCTACCTCATCCTCACAAGAAAAAGGGCTGAAGTACTCAAAAAAAAAAAAAGTTTAAATGTAAACTTCCTATCCTAATCTCTGTCCAAGGGGAATTCCACTGCCAATGGGAAAAGGCAACTCAATTCCTAGATAAATATGTGGAATGGCATTCAACACACACACACACATACACACACACTCTCAACATTACTCTCACAAACTGATAACTCCTGGAACAAATCCCAATCTTTCTTACTTACCTTTTTCTCATGGCTTCTTAACAGAAGTCATGTGTCTACAGAAGTGAGGTCAAGGGTGAGGGACATGCAGCCCCAAGACCTTGAGTGAGAGTTGCTGGGTCTCTCTGAATGAAACCCTCAGTAGTCAGTGGCATGAGGCATCAAAGGTCATCTGGCCCACATAAGAGCTGTACCCCAGCCCTGGGACATACTGTGTCCACGGTGCAGAAAAGAGGTATTAAAACAGACCAGAGGCTGTGGAGGATATTGCTGTCCAAGCAGAACATCAGGTCTGCATATCTCCATCCCTGCAACATACATACACTCGCACACTCACCACCATTATCAGGGGAAATTTCCTTGCTTACTTGAGTCTCAGATGCTTCATGGCAGAGCAGCCTGAAGCATCTGAGACTCAAAAACAACAAGAGTTTGCAGCAGAGGAAGCTAAGACACACTTATCTACTACGAGAAGCCCCCAGTGGACCCATCCCAAGGTTCGCTTCCCCTGCAAACACATAGCAGAGCCCTTAGCTGGAGAAAGGATTATCCAGAAGCAAACCCGCAGTGGGCTCAGCACTTGGCTCTGAGTGTCTACGTGGAGAACACCTCTAGGAGTTGTGCTTTCTTCCCTCAGAACTTCCATGGGCCTGCAGGGACAGCCAGGAGGTCCTGGAGAGTCTCGCTACAGATGGACAGTGGAGGGCAGGCTGCCACTCTGACAGAGGAAAGTCGGCTATACCTGGAGGGGCTCTATGGCCCAGTGTGACCTCACTCACCTGGGAACCCGTCATCATCAAGATCGTCCAGGCTGGCAATGCTCTCCCCAAAGTGTGCATTGTAAGCACCATCCCCATTCAGGGTCAGCTGCTCCTCCAGGGCTCCCTGGGAAACAGGATGGAGGAAAAAGTGGGATGAAAAAAAGAAAACAATAAAAACACAGGGCTCAGAGGGCGACCCTCCTAACAGAACACCCATCAGCAGGAAACACCTGGGCAGAATCACAGGAACACAAACTCCTCTCTTCTGGGGGCAAAATGAGTCCTTCACCTGTGCAGCAGGAGGGTCTCCCAGAGCCCAAGATACATTCTAGAGGCCAGGGGACTATCACGTTGACAATGACTACACCTTCCCATCCTATCGCTCCACAGACCAACCAGCAAGCCACCTGCCTGCCTGTCCCCACAGTAACCCCTCAGCCTTTCCTATGACATAACAATTTCCTCAAAGTTGTTTTCAAGGGGTAAACATTCATGTTTGTTTTCTCCTGTGCCTTTTGGTACCAGTTCATATAGCTGTTTTGTAAGACGCACGTTATTAGCAATCTCAATGGAGGGGGTCATAGTTCAGAAAATCCAGGAACCCAGTAGTTCCTGGTCAGGGGGCTGAGGTGGTAAGATACCTAACTAACCATGCTGTCTTTCATGGCTCAGGAATGAAATTCTGAGCAACCATTAACAGAGAAAGTGGTCAGGGGTGTATGGTGGCAATAAAAGCCATCTAAAAATACCCTCTCCCCACCCCAAATCATTGAAATGTGAATACCAGAAGGTTAAAACGCGATATTAGGTTTAAAGGCATAAGAATATTTAAACCTTCCCCATTGTAGAGGCATTTTGGGACACACCCTATACCCACAAACCATCCCACGAGTGTCTGGCTTTTGTCTTGACAAAAATCTCCTTCCCTGTAAACACACCCTGCAATCTGGAAATAAAGATGTGATGATTTCTTGAGTCAGTGAAACCCCCACCCCAAAACACAAAAGAGTGTCACTCAGTATCTGTGGGGTATTGGTGCCAGGATCCCTTTAATTCTAAAATTTGCAGATGTTCAAGTTCTTTATACAAACTGGCATGGTATTTGCATATGACCTGTGCACACTCTCCTGTGTACTTTAAATTATTTCTAGAGTACTTATAAGATCTAATGCAATGTTAATGCTATGCAAAGTTGCTGCACTGTATCATTCAGGGAATAATGACAAGAAGAAAGTCTGTACATGGTCAATACAATTTTTTGTGCATATACTTTAAATCTACAGTTTAAGAATGCAAAACCCACAGATATAGAGGACCAACTGCATGTGACTTCTTCCTACTCATGTGATGGGGAAGAGGAAAGACACCAGCAGGCGATTCCTTCTATGTACCAAGCATTGTCTGTCCATCTCCTCATTCAGACCTGAGGTCCTTTCCCCTTTCACAGATGAAGAAAATTGAGGTGCCAATTATAAGCCACCTGTTCATGTCACCAGCTAGGAACTGACAAAAACCAAGATTCAAACTCAGGCCTATCATTTTTTTCACTTTTCCATACTGCTTTATAATCACTAATCAAATGGCATAAGGTTGAAAAGAAGTAATAGGGTAACCTACAACATTCAGGCATATTGGGTGAGGAAAGTTGGGGGGCAAGGACACACGTGGTTGTGACATGCCCAGAGGAAGTCTAGGGGGGATTATCATGCTCCAAGATCCCACCTCCTTGCCAGGCATGGTGGCACACACCTGTAATTCCAGTGGCCCAGGAGGCCGAGACAGGAGGACCTGGAGTTCAAAAATCAGCCTCAGCAACTTAGCAAGACCTTGTCTCTAAATAAAATATAAGAAAGGGCTGGGGATGTGGCTCCGTGGTTAAGACCCCTGGGTCCTATCCGTGGTAACAAAACAAAACAAAACAAAAAAATGCACCTGCTCCTCTGGACACACAGTCAAGCTGTTGGGCTTAAAATCCATGCAAATGCTTGCCTCCTGCAAATACATTAACAGCCACAAAGTGCCCACTGCTCTCACCTACAGAATCACGTCAATCCTCTCTGCTCTCCCTCCCAGAATGTCAGTGGGGCTGCAGTGCCGAGAGCATCTTCCCACCCAGGTTTTAGATCCACTTTCCCCAGAAGTCTGCAAACATCACAGACAGCGCAAGGCTTAACATCCCCTGGCCCTCCTCCCCCTGCTGGCCCTTCCACCTGGCATCTGCTCACCTGATGAAAGTTAAACACCACCCTCTCCCAGCACTACCATCTTGGCCACTGCTTTATAGTATACTCTTTTTTTTTTAATTGTTTTTTGTTTTTTTGCAGGAGGCATGTACCATGGATTGCACTCAGGCACACTTAACCACCAAGCCCCTTTTTGTATTTTATTTAGAGACAGGGCCTCACCAATTGCTGAGGCTTTGAACTCGTTATTCTCCTACCTCAGCCTCCCGAGACTCTGGGATTACAGGTGTGTGCCATCATGCCCAGCAGATTTTCTATTTTGAAAGATTGCAATGTCACCATTTGGATAAAAAACAAAATCTACCCAAGCATCACCACCCAGAGATTTGTTATGAACATTCTCTGTGTACCACATATGTTAAGGTTATTTGTACATATAATAATTTTCACTATTTAAAAAAAATATTTTTGTAGTTGTAGATGAACCAAATGCCTTTTTTTTTCCCCTCTAATTTTTATATGGTCCCAAGGATCGAACCCAGTACCTTAAACGTGCTAGGAAAGCACTCTGTCACTGAGCCCCAGCCTTCATCCTGGCTTTTTAAAACACTAAGTATTTTGTCATGCTACCTAAGGCGTGGGACAACAATGCATTTATTGAACCCTTTCCTTCTCGTTGAACGCTAATTCTAGATCCTGAGATGCCGCTCTCTCATGGGCCCTCCACCCACCCACCTTCCCTTGGCTACAGAGGGACAGAAGCATTTTCTGAATCTGTCCCATCCCTTTCACGGTTTTGCACAATATGGGACATCATGATTACAGCCAGAGGCCACGTCATCAGCCTCCACCATGAATTAGGGGCCCTTCCGCCTCACACCTCAACCCACTTGCCCAGTCCTCTGCTGGGAGTTCTGCCCGAGCCCAGCCTGTCTGCCTCTTTCCTCTAGATTCCTCCCAGCTATCAGGGCCACTGCTTCCCCAGAGCACATGTCTATATACACTCTCAGAAAGGCAGCATAACCTAGAGACAAAACATGGCAGCTCTGAAGCCAGCTGACCAAGGTTTGAATCCTAGCCTCGCCATGACTTAGGTGTGTGATTTGGGGCATGTGATTTAAGCTCTCTGGGCCTCAATGTTTCATCCGAAAAAATGAGAACCCTGGACATCATGTGTATGTTGCATTGAAATCACTCATGGGAAATAAGGAAAAATAGTCCCTAGTAGAGAGTCAGCACTTCATAGTCTTCCTGGCCCCCGCATGTTTGCAGTTATAACACTGTACAAGATTCTCCATTAATGGACCATTAAGCTTCTTCAAGGCAGGAATTAAGTCTTTACACCTCCTGGGAAATGGCCCAGTGCATGCCCAGAGGGTGCTCAGCCACTTCCCCACCCCCCACCTTGCCCAGCACCATACTCACGTTTCCTTTGTTGATGTAGACCGTGACCTGCCCCTCGTCTCTGATCTCAGAAAACATGGGGGCCCCCACCAGCAGGTCAGAGAGGCCGTCCCCGTTCAGGTCAACTGCGCATAAGGAGGAGCCGAAGTAAGAGCCCATCTGTAACCAAGTCGATCGCAACAGAGCATTCAGTGTCCGCCCTCACGCACGAGGCCCTCGCTCTCCTCTGGCCTGTTGGCTTTGAAACGTCTGCTCCCAGCCCCTCAGAGGCACTGCTGGCTGTGCTGCCCAAGAGGCAGGATGCCTAGGCCAACAGGGAAGGCTGGCTCCCCGGGGCCTTCTGAGCCTCAGGACACCAAAGCTCACAGGCTCAGCAGGCCCCTGTCCTGTCCTGGAGCCCCATTCAGGGAAGGCTAAGAGGCCAGTCCCTGGAGGACGTAGCACTATTTCTTTAAATCAAGCTGAGGTTGCAAATACAGGTTACAACCAGGAAAAAGTGCCCACTATCAGACATTTGACAAGGCAAGCTAGCAGGAGTATGGAATTTCACAACGTGAGATGGACGTGAAATGATTGTTACAGGCCGGGCCTGGTGGTGCGTGCATGCCTATTAATTCCAGCGGCTCAGGAGGCTGAGGCAGAAGGATCGCGAGTTCAAAGCCAGCCTCAGCAAAAGCAAGATGCGAAGCAACTCAGTGAGACCCTGTCTCTAAATAAAAATACAAAATAGGGCTGGGGATGTGGCTCAGTGGTTGAGTACCCCTGAATTCAATCCCTAGTACCCACCCCCCACCTAAAAAAATGCTTGTTACAGGGGAAAATGGGTTATCCTCCCCCCATTCCACCCCATTGCTGTGCATACTAGAGACTGGTCAGGAAGGAATGATCTGAAGAGACAGAAAAAGGTACAACTGTTGGATGAGGGCACAGCACCAGCTTCCCTCAGGCATAATTCATCCAGTACCTGTGGTTTTAAATCCAGAGTCTCAAACCCAAACACCACTGGGGTCCAGGCAGGTGAGAGAACAGGTGATAGAACAGTGTGCTTACAGATGGCAAGGGACAATTGTCCTCAGTGTCTGAGAACAACAGGAAGTAGAGGAGACTGCGGCCCACAGGACTGCATCCCATTTTCCCAAAATTCAAAACTTTATTTGAAGGACCTGTTTTATAAATGCTGACAATTTATTTGTATTAAAAATGATAAATGAATACTGTACAGGCCAAATAAAAACGTGTGCAGGCTGTAACCCTTCTAGAGACAGCTAACTTATAACTTTTTTTTTTTTTTAAAGTATGTCCTTTTAAAATAAAGGACAGGGCTCTGGCTCTGCTGAGCTGAGGAGCACTTTCTCTGGCTGTCGGAGTTGTCGTCAATCTACTCAGGGGAGGTGCAGAGAGGTGGGAGCACTCCAATCTACTTCCTGCAGCTAACGCTGGCCCTGGAGGGCTTTGAGGAAGCCACTCAAACCTTTCCCATTCCTGGGACAAAGCCAATCGCCCCACTCTCCAGGGAGGAGGACATCAGAAAGATTTGAGGAGGATGGGGAGGATAGAAACCAAGTTACCAGTCACTAATTCAACAGCCTCGCCAATCTCCCCAGCTGAGCTTTAGTAGAAGAAACTGGTAAGGCACAGGCAAGGCCAGGAAGATCAGAGCCAAGGGCTGCTCTCTCTGGCTGAGCCCCAGGGGAACTGCTTGCTTCATTCCAGTGGGCTATTTAACTTGGCATCTTCATGGATGTTAGATCAGAAATCCCTGTAGGTGAAGTTTCCTATCTCAGTTTTGAAATGCAAACACATCTCCAGTTAATTCAATAGGACATCAACACAGCTATGACAGGCTTTGGGGTGAGCAATCCTTGACTCCACCTCTCCATCAATCTGCAAGTACAGGGGCATGCATTTGTGTTAACATCTAAATTGCACACATATTTATCATTTCTTATGTGCACTATTTGTGGGATATTAATCCATAGAGACCAGAATCTGTTTTTCATTTTTTTTTTTTCTTCCTAACGGGATACAAAACAACCTGACCAAATTCTAGGCAAATAAAAACTGGAGTGACTGGGGACTGAGGGGGAACTCTCCTCTCTGGGTGTGGCACAGGGGTAAAGCCAAAGCACCCTTGGAAAGCCTGGGGATCATGTCCTCTCCCTAGGAGATAATGGAGAAGTCAGAGAAACAGGAATATCACATTTCTTCAGGCAAAAAAAGCAGAATAAGATGCAGAAAGAGAGGTAAGGGCCTATTTCAAAATCAGAAGGCTGATGAGGCGTGTAAAGCAAGCTGGAGAAATTGGCAGAAGAAAGGGAAAGCCACAGAGCCAGGAGGGTGAGGCCGGATAAGGAGAAAATACAGAGTGGGGCAAAGGTTCTGGAAAGATGAGGCAGATGGCTATGCAGCTGGGGGCCTGGAGGGTAAACATCTGGATGCTTCTGTCCCTGGAGTGGGGAACCTAACGTATCTTGTCACAATCAGGGAATCTATAATTTATCTTGTCACAATCAGGCATGTCTCTTTTGGAACCAGATGTCATTAAGTTCTAAGTTTGGACAAGGAAAAGTTCTGAAAGATTTCCCTGAGCCTTCTTACATCTACCCCTCATAACCTGACCAACATCTGGGAACAGGTGGGTGGCCATGGAAGTTATCATCCAAACTGGGAAGTTTTCAAGGAGAGGGGATACAATCAATTGCTAATTAGGCCATGACATACACCAGGACCCCAGGCACGAATGGAGCCCCTGTGCTGGGCAGAGAATGGAAGAGGAAGATACCAGGAGGCACAGCCACAACCGAACAGAAAGATTCTCAGAAATAATTTTATGCTTTCAAACCCAGTACCTTTAAGGGGAGGGGACAGTTTGTACAGTAGACACACACACACACACACACACACACACCCACCCACTCATGGGGAGGTTTTTTTGGAGAAAGATCTAAAAATGTTAGGCTTAGTAGTATTCACACCCACCATGCTTGTTGGGGCTGTTTTGATCCACAGTGGTATGGAGCTATTTCTTTTCTAACTTTAGGGGTGGTTGGAAAGTCTTTTCTGCAGAATAGCACACTAGTCCCTTTTCAATGCTGTTGCCTCTGGGGTTTTGGAAATGTTAAAACACCACAAGTCAGTGTGGATCTCAGGGGAATAAAGAATCATTCTGAGGAAAAAATGCAAAACCAAGTTAGATACTGCATTTTTTTTATTTTAAAGGTTATGACAACTATATACTAAGTGTGCTTATTAAGGTTGTTAGAATTGCAGTGGTGTGCAATTTCAGTCTCAACCACTCAGAAGGCTGAGGCAGGAAGATCACCTGAGCCCAGGAGTTGGAGGTCAGCCTGGGGAAGGTAGTGAGACCCCCATCCCAAAAAAAAAAAAAAAAAAGGAAAAAGGCCTACTGGTGGAACGAGATGGACATCATTACCCTAGGTACATGTCTCAAGACAGGAATGGTGCAACTCTACTTTTTGTACAGCCAGACCAGAAAAATGAAAAATCGTGGTCGTCGAGCCAGAGGGGAGGAGCGGGGCTGCCGCCCGCGCCCGCAAGGTAGGCAGACCTGCGACCAACCTGCAGATCAGGCCCAGTGGTCTGCGGGCGTGGTAGGAGGGGCAGGGCAGAGCCGCCGCCCGCGCCGGCAAGGTAAGCAGACCTGCCACAGACCGGCGGATCAGGCCCAGCGGCCTGCCAGCGTGGTACACACTTCACCCCAACTGGAGTAGGGGCAGAGCAGAGCCTTCGCCCGCGCCCAGATCAGGCCCAGCGGCCCGCCTGTGTACTGGTCAAGTGACCCCAATTGGAGTGAGGGCGGAGCGGAACTGCCACCCGTGCCCACAAGGTGGGCAGACCGGCGACCAACCTGCAGATCAGGCCCAGCGGTCCCCGGGCGTGGTAGGAGGGGCAGGGCAGAGCCTTTGCCCCCACCTGCAAGGTAGGCAGACCTGCGACAGAACAGCAGATCAGGCCCAGGGGTCCGCGGGCGTGGTAGACACCTCACACCAATTGGAGGAGGGGCAGAGCAGAGCCCCCGCCCACACCTGCAAGGGAGACTTTTCAACTATACAAGAGCAATATAAATATATAGGGGGGGAAAAAAATTCAAAAACACAACAGTTTCACCAAGAAGAAAGAAACACAAGCAGTATGAAAAGACAAGGAAAGAAAGGACTACAAGCAATGCAGGTCAACTCAACTTTAGAAGACGTAACAGCTGCAGCAGATGGAATGTCAGATAAAGAATTCAGGATATATATGCTTCAGATGATCTGGAGTATCAAGGAAGACATTAGACAGCAAAATCAGACAATGAAAGATCACTTCGACAATGAATTACACAAACAAATCCAGGAAGCAAAGGATCAACTATACAGGGAGATAGAGGTTATAAAAAACAAACAGAAATCCTAGAAATGCAGGAAGCAATAAACCAACTTAAAAACTCAATTGAGAATACTACCAGCAGAGTAGAACACTTAGAAGATAGAACATCAGACAATGAAGACAAAGTATTTCAACTGGAAAAGAACATAGACAGCTCAGCAAGACTGTTAAGAAACCATGAGCAGAACATCCAAGAAATATGGGATAACATTAAGAGACCAAACTTAAGAGTCATTGGGATACAGGAAGGTATAGAACTCCATACCAAAGGAATGAGCAATTTATTCAATGAAATAATACGAGAAAACTTCCCAGACTTGAAGAATGAGACAGAATCCCAAATTCTAGAAGCCTAAAGGATGCCGAATGTGCAAAATTATAAGAGATCCACACCTAGACACATTATAATGAAGATGGCCAACATACAGACTAAGGAGAGAATTTTAAAAGCTACAAGAGAAAGGAAGCATATTACTTTTAGGGGTAAGCCAATCAGGATAACAGCTGATCTTTCAACACAGACTCTGAAAGCTAGAAGATCCTGGAATAACATATTTCAAACACTGAAAGAAAATGGGTTCCAACCAAGAATTGTGTATCCAGCGAAATTAAGCTTCAGGATGGAAGATGAAATTAAAACCTTCCACGACAAACAAAAGTTAAAAGAATTTGCACCTAGAAAACCATCTCTTCAAAACATCCTCGGCAAAATATTACAGGAAGAGGAAATAGAAAATAACAATGAAAACCAACAGTGGGAGGTAGGACAG